AGAAAAAGGGGTTGGGGGGGGGTTGTAGGGAAACTAGGTTATTCTCTTCGTTTTGGACTTTTGCACGTTCTGACAGGAGGGTGTTTAGCTGACCCCATGTCTGTCTATATGATACATTATACGGTTTATTTACAGAGAGCTGAAATGGTGTTCTTCTTAACTGGGGCTTTGCTGCGATTTGTTCAGCGCAGAGGAACCGAAGGCGATCCGGCCATAGTTATCCTAAACTTGGACATGTCTGGAGCCTAACGCCTAGGGTTTTACTTGCCGATTGCATTGTAGATGGGCCCGGAACAGATGCTGCGGCTGTCTTTGGCATCCAAACTTTACGATTCTTCGGTGGCTTTTCAGTACACTGGTTCTTGTTCTTTTGCCTTGACTTGTTGACGAAGAGCCACGAGCATACTTGGGCGGCGCTTCCTTTACGCCTTTTGTATCCGTTCGCGTAAGGTTGAACGGGCCCTTTTGTACCAAGAGTCCACTCTCTTCTCGTCGTAATGTTGGGTTGAGTAAATATGTATTATTTGCCTGTGAGAGGCAACTGAGTCATTTTCTGGCGTTCTTCGACTTACTATGGTCGCGCATAGTAAAATTGGATCTTGCCGTCTGGTTTTGTCTGGGCATGGGTTCTTTAGCGCCATTGTCCCCCGGTTCTTAGCAGGTAGATTAGTGGTGGTCGCTTGGCTCGCTGTCTTCTGACGGAGCTCTTTTTGGTCAGCATATTTTTCTATCTTTTTGGTTCCGGGTGAGGCTAGTAATCGATCATTAACGGAACTTTCGTAATGCGGTACGCGATCTTGTTCACTTGGAGCAGAATTACGTTGCAGGTGTCAGAATTCCTTAGGGCAACGTATGAGGTGCAAGAATCTTTGCGCTGCGGTCCTCAGTTGGAGTTGGCAGTACATTGAACAGTTTTCCAGAATAATCCGTTCTGCTAAATTTGCTGAGATGTCGAGGAAGATTTCGCGATGAGGACGACAGTATTTGGTCCTCAAATTTTGCCTTTGATCGATGTAACTCGTTATATCGATCTCTTCATTGAACGATGGATTCTTGATCGTTGCGACATCCTTGTTGGGATCGGCCGGCCCTCGGCAGCGAGCCGCTGTGCTCCCACTTGTGGTCGCCAGCGTTGTTTGGTTCAAAAGTTGGTTCTGTTGAGGAATTTCATTATAACTTTGCTTCATTAGCAACAAATCGAAAGAATAATCTTTTTATAAGCTTCTTTTCTACAGCAACAAAACGAAAATTACAAACTTTGAGAAACAACACACAAAAATCATCTATCGATCTATTGTTTTGCTGGGACTTGCCTGTGCCGGGAACGCTTGGTTCAGTGAACCGACCCGAATCACGAGATCGTAGAAGGGGGCTTATGATTCATGACTTCGTTATCGAAGTGAGAATGTGAACGATATCTTTATCGAAGTAAGAGTATGTCGTTTCTTCTTAAAATCAAAGTCAAGCTTAATTTCAAGGCGTTGCAAGAAAAACCAAAATCTGGCTCTCTCTCCTGCCTGTCTGGAATGCTCTAACAAAATGCTCGATCCTCGTCAGAAATGACCGCTAGGGGCGTATTTATAGCCTCTAGGGTACTAACTACAGCGACTCTAAACAAACGAAGAAGTTAACTGGCGCGAGCACAGTGTTTACTGTTCCGCTGGGTCGAGACAATGTTTTACTGTCTCGCCAGCGAGACAGTAAATTTGCTGTCTCGCCACATCGTCAGGGAGACAATAAAATATGTCTCGGAACGAATATTCCTGCAGTTCTCGCTGTAACTGCCTCCCCACGTTTCAGAACTCGCTTATATTTGCTGCAGTGTTTCATCACTGAATTTCGCACCACAGATGCTTTACGCCAGTGCATTGCAGTTATATGCGACACTTCGGTGTAGGGCAGTTTACAAAGGTAGTTTTTGACGCTTTCAACACTGTCTCGCTGGCGAGAACAAGCAAAGCCTGTTCTCGCTGGCGAGATGTCAGCAAAGCCTGATGCTCGCCTTGGCTGAGACAGTTCATTTTCCTGGCCTTGAATTTTTCAAATTATAATATGAGATCCTTTTGAGTGATCTTCTCTATGTTTGGGATATCTATTAGCATTTTTTGACGCCTACAGTCATCATCTAAGAAACAGACAAAATGCAGGAAAATAAAAACTAGGTCTCCTACTCCATTTTTTTCATTAGAATTAGATCGGTCTAATCTATATCATTGGCTACCACCTAATAATCAACTTAATTGATAAGGAAAGGAGTTGACTAAAAAAAATTATATATATGTGTAGGTGAGGGGGAAAAAGAAGAAAGAAAGGCTTGAAATGTTACCTAATGTCTATTGTTATAAAGTTGCGGAAATGCTACGAATTTTACTATATTGTACGTATAGAGGATTCCTTCCTCTACTGTTCGTAAAGACTTGCTAGTTCCAAGGCACCATATTAATTAGTCATCGTAAAGTGGTACTATACAGAGTCATTTACCATCAAAGGGATGCTAACTTCTAAAACTGAACAAGTAATTAATAAGGAAGTGGTTTACCTTGATGATTCAATTGTTGCATATATTATATTTATATCAAATGGTATTTAAGAATCCACAAAAACTTAATGGAGACTTGGATGTTGATATTTCTTTAGGTGACATTAATTATGGAATATTAAGAATTAAATTCATGAAACCTCAATTAGTGTTAGAAAACAATAAGACAAGGGGTATAAAGATTGAAATTGTGATACACACTAATTCAGCAGTTTGGAGCATGTCATTGTGATGGCCCATGGAGCTGAGGGCTCGATAGATTATATCGGTCTCCTTGAATGCATCTGCTTCAACCACGACAGCATTTGCGGAGGCCTCTAACCAGAAAGCACTACAATTTAACCACAACATATTAATAACAGATATGTTATAGATATTTGATAATGTTGTAGATATTTGGGGATTTCTTACTCTTTTAACAAGTCTTTGAGCACCGTGCTCTTGCCGGCTCCCATCCCACCACCCATAAGGAGGAGCACAGGGCTCCTATCAGCGTGCGCGGCTGGAACCATTACAGAGTTGGTCGGAGATTCTTCATGAGATGCTAATCCAATGGCCTTCATCTCCTCCACAAGAGTAGAGAACACTCTTGCAACTTTCAAGTCCCTTGTTAACCTCTCAAATCTCTGTTTCCTGTTCCCAAATTAGAAATTTTAGAAGTGTTAAAGAGTAAATTTGGCATTAGTAAACTAAACTACATTATTGCTATCCTAGTTATACTTGGTCTCAGTATGTATATACTTGTTTTTTTTCATAGAATAAGTTTTAAGTTCAACTTAACTTGGCTATCTTCAATTAGTGCTAGTTTAGGACTAATATTTGGATATTTCGTATGAGATTATTGTTTGAGTTAGCTTTAATTTAGTTGCCTTTCCTTCTTTATTTTTCTTTCGCAGAATATTCGGACCACACATAATCTTGTTTACTTCAGACCAACACCCCACTCGAATTGGTTATGGTCTGATTATTGGCCAGAATCAGGCTAAGTTAAGACTAGATTACACTCAAGTAAAATTGTCAAACTAAGATTATGAATTTGGATAAAAATTTTATCTCAGTAAATATGGTTGCTAAACTGACTCTTAGGGCCTGTTTGGATTCGTAGGGGGTGAAGGGAAGTTAAGGGAAACTGAGTGAAGGGAAGGGAAGGGAAATGAAGGGAAGGGAAGGGAATTCCCTTCCCCTTGGTTACACCCCAATTTGGGGGGTAACAATTTTTATACTATTAGGGGGTGAACTAAGGTGAATGGAGGTGAATTAACTTCACCTCCTAAGTGTTCCCAAACAAGATGAATGGAGGTGAATGGTTCCCCTAACTTCCCTTCACCCTCATTCCCCTCAATCCAAACAAGCCCTTAGGTTAGTCTTTACACATGTTGATCAACAACTAAGTAGCTTAATGTTCTGGATAAAAATGATCATCTAGCTGACATTGCTTGAGAAGAGTGACATCCTACTTGTGGGGAAAAAAAATTATGATAAAAAGGTAAAAACAAAAAATAAACCCACCTGAAAGTTCTCATTAGGCTGAACTGTTTGTTTGTTTCTGTATGGTCTTAGTTTAATGTCCTTATCAACTAAGTTTAGAAAATCAAGGTGTGGTTCCCATGTAACAAGTTGTCAGAATTATTTTATTATCTTGCTTTATCAATGATCTAGACTTTAGGCCTAATATGAGATTTTTAATGCACAAATAGAATATATTCTCATTGGAGCAAATCAAGTTGTGATAATAGAGTTGTTGACCTCCACATTGACATAAATAATAAATCACAGTATTTACTATTATCCGATCTTAGTCCACCAAAAGTAGGGCAAATAATGCAATTGGGCCATATATAAGAAAAGGAGTAAATAGATATTCAAGTTCTTCATTCACAGTCACATTAATCAATGGATTAATTAATGACAATTTGCCCAATATCTGTACTATAGCAAGCATTAAGGCGCTAATGGCGCATGAATTGTATAGTTGGTTACCATGTCAATCTTATCTGCTTAGTATTTGGAAAGAAAAATTCTTTATCTAGCAACCTGGCATTGGCAATAGTATTCTCAGCGCGTTGTTTATGGATCAAAAACCCATCGGAGAACAAATTCTCAACATTTAAGCCAGAATCTGTTTTTAATTAATATTTTGCTGAAAGTAAAAATCTGAGAACCAACCGATATTTGAAAATCAATCTAATTCAAGATAGATATAGATGCACACCTTGTAGCCTCCAAGACCAAATCCTTGAGCTTTCTTTTTGGCTTATCATTTTTGTCAGCAGCCAAAATCTATACAAAAAGAAAGATATTTGCATGATCAATCTTAAGATTCATTAAAAAGTATATAGTAAGACATTTTTCCTGAGATTTTTTTAGTTAGTTACCCGAGTAATTAAAAGAGTAGCATGATCCCAATGAAACGCGAAATACCCAAGTATGCATCTATCTAATTCTTGAATGAGCTTCACATACAAAAATTCAGCTTCATCTTCATGAGAGATGAAGGCAAATATGTCATCCTCACATCCATGGGTCTTCTTCAGATATTCAAATGCCAATTTTGCAAGCTGAGGACACTTATTTGCATCGGTAAACCCAAATTGCCTAGCTGACCAAAAAAAAGTTGGTTATCAAACACGTTAATGGTTTACCCCCAATAAAACTCAAAATTTTCTAAAGATTACTATTTTTGGGGTCTAAAGTTAGCAGATGAGCACGTCAAGATAGGGAATCTCTATCACTTGTGAAATCAACAAAGTTTGAAAAACAAAATTTGAGAAAACCCCAAAACAAATGACAATCAACATATCAATATCACCACAAAAAAATGTCAATAAAAACAAATTTCTAAAAAATCTCGAACTCTCCCCCCCCATATTTGGAAAGTAAATAGTTCATCTTATGAGACCATCATAAAGGTCAACCGGCCTACAACCGACTGAAGTAACCTTATCAACAGCATCAGCACTTACGACATTAATGTCTCCACCAACTTCAAACATCACTATTTTTTTTCAAAATTAGTAAATAAATAAAGAGCTTTGCTCCAGAGACTCAAAATATAGGACCAATAAGGGGGACAAATAAGGTGTCTCCCTCCTACTGGATAAAGAGTTGGCTATCATAATGACCAAGTCATTATCCAATAGGAGAGGGACACCTCACTTGATGGCCACAATATCCAATAGGAGGGGAACAACTCATTTGTCCCTCCTATTGATCCCATATTTTGGATCATTAAAAAAATTTTCATAAATAAAACGTTGACTGATATTTTGTTTTAATACAGTTAAAAACCCAAATAAACATGACATGACCAACACATTAATATCACCACCAATAAAACCAAAAAAAAAAAACCAGTTTCTCAAAATCTTGAATTTTTCTCAAAACCAACATAATGGGCAAATGGGTACGAACAAAATTGGAACTTTGGACGATATTTTGTTTTTTCATACAGAAAAGGAAAATTCACCAACGTAAAGCGGGAAGCTCTCGAGCTCCAAGACTCCCCGGCCTCACTGATCTCTAGCTTCGAATGGGTCCTTGAATCAGACAACCGCCGCGCAGCTGCTGCCGGCCTGCCGCCGCTGGAAACGGACGGCGACGGCGGCAGCGACGGCGGCGAGAGAATGACAGTGTTAAGGAGGAGGAGCTTGATGTTCCCATCTGAAGAAGTTAGAGAAGAGAAACCCAATGAGAACATGCGGGCGGGGGGGGGGAGTTTCTGCGAGAGCAAACAGAATTGATGTAGCTACCCTCTTGGGCAGTTCATCCTTATTATTTGAGATCCGAAGTGAAGGGATAGAGCTTCGGATGCAAGCAATTTTAACTCTAGCTTATTCTCAGTCGTGAATGGTTTGCACGCTATGGTAGTCCTTTAAATTTTGGGGGTCTTTCGTATTTTAGTCCCATATACATCTTTTCTTATTAGAAATTATTCCCGCAAATCATGGGAATTACTGTTAGGTCTTCAAATCTGAAGTTATTATGATTTAGTCCCTCAAATCATTAAAATTGCTATTAGGTCCCCCCAAACCTTAGGTTATTTTCGAGATAGTCCCTACAATCAAGAGTAAAAATAAGAATCAGAGGGAGTAATTTAAAACAACTTATGAGATGGGAGTATAATGGCAATTTCAATGATTTTAAGTGACGAAATTTTCTCTTATTTGTTGTTTTCATTCTTGCTGTGAGGGACTAATTTGAAAATAATGTAAGGTTAGGTGGATTTAATAGCGATTTCAATAAGTTGAGGGACTATATTCAAAATAACATAAGATTTGCTGCATATTTAATAGTACTTTCCGTGATTTGAGGGACTAATTTCAAGGAAAGTTCTATCTTGCACTATTTGAGTGGTCCGCTACCTTGATTTTTAAGGTATTTTGATAGGGCCCTTAAATCTACCACATTTTGATAACAACCCGTTGAAGAATTGGGCTTATTGCAATTTGGTCCATATATTAGTTTTTGCGGGTCAAATTTGTGAATCATAGTTGGGTTAGTTCTTAATCCCACTGGTCCATCACCAAAATAATCCCCACACTAGGGGAGATTTGATCGTCCTAGACGGCGCATCCTAGAAGGACGACAAATCGTCTAGGATGTTTTATCGTAGATGGATCGTAACCGCCTAAGAAAAACTGTCTAGAATATGAGTATTCTAGACAGATCCGCCGTCTAGGATGATATTCTAAACGGTTTATTTTTTTTTAAATTGGGACCCACTATCGTAGACGGCTTAGTCATCTAGAATGTTAAAAAAATTTAGTAGGTCTTTTTGGTGAACGGTGAAAAGCACCAGTATTTTTACCTCTCTTTTTAACTTTTTACCAGATATGTTTTCACTCGCGATTTTCACTGCATCTTTCTTCACCAGTTTGTCGAAGATGTCGGAGTCGTCAAAGGTCGCCGCTTGTCATCGTCGAAATCGTCAAAGTTCACTGCTTCTACTCGTCAAAGTTCACCGCCTTTGGTTGTCGAAGTTCGCCGCCGCCATTCTCACCACCTTTTGTTTAGTCAATCTCGCCAGCATTCTCTCCTTCTACATCAAATCTAAAAAAAGTAAATATCAAATCCCCCTCCAAAAAGGCAAATATTCAACCCCCCACCTCCCATCCCCAATCATCACTCCTAGTGAGAGAGGTTGTTTCCCTGCATGATCACTTACATCCAAGCCCATCCCCATATTTAAATAACTAGTTTAGAAGTTTAAATTGTGTTTACATGCTTTGATCTTAATCTAATATGAAAAAGAACAGATTTTTGTTGTTAGATCTTAAACAAATGTTAGATCTATATCTTTTTCTTGCTGTTTATAATAAAAACATGATCTTGATCATTAGGGTTCTTCAAAATTTTATTTTTTAACTTGTTAATCATGTTCTAATCATGTTTAAATCCTAATTTGACATTTAATTGAGTTTACATGTGTTTTTAACTTGTTAATCATGTTCTAATCATGTTTAAATCCTAATTTGACATTTAATTGAGTTTACATGTGGATTAAAGATGAGAAAACCCTAATCATGTTTAAATCCTAATTTGACATTTAATTGAGTTTACATGTGGATTAAAGATGAGAAAACCCTAGGTATGTGATACCCAAATATGAAAAATATGATTTAATGAATGTATATCTTTTCTAAGTTATTTAGCAATCATATTTATGTTTAATATGTTAAAAGTTCATGCTTTAGATTGAAGAACTTGGTGAATTTGGTTAATTAGGTTGAAAAACCCTAATTAGATTAACACAAGAGTTTGATTTATGTTCGAGATAATTTTAGTAAGTGATTATCAAAGTTTAAGTGTTGTTATATGTTTTATATATGTTTTAGTATGTTTTAAACATGATTGTAGGTTTAAATATGATTTCTTGTGCAAATAATCATGTTTATTATGCTCTGCAAAAAAACTGCTGCACATATATACTGTTTAACTAGAAATTTGAAATAACAAATGAAATCCAAACTGAACCAAATTAATTCCAATTGAAAGATATGTGAATCTAAATTTCAAAACAGAAAACCTTTCCTAAAGATAGTTTTCCTAAAGAAAGATATGCTCAATTTACTGATGATACGTTCTGCAGAAAAACTGCTACACATATAAAACGTTTAACTGGAAATTAGAGATATCATATGAACTCCAAACTTTGATAAGAAAAACTGCTACACATATATAACGTTTAACTGGAAATTAGAGATATCATATGAACTCCAAACTGAACTAAACCAATGCCAAATGATATCTATGTGAATCTGGTTTCCAAAACGGAAAACTATTCTTAAAAAGAGTTTTTCTAGAGAAACATATACTCAATTGACTAACGATATGTTCTGCAGAAAACTACAAATATGGTGATTTAAAATAATTGATATATAACGTGAAAGTTTCTTGAGTTTTGCTCTTGTATGTTATTTTCGAGAGAGTTTCTCGATCTTGTACTGTTATATTATAATGATTAAGAGTTGTTTAACACCTGAGATGATGGTGAACACCAGTTATGGACACGCACACCGAGATATATGCACATATACTTAGTTTATGTTGTATTAACATGCACTGTTGAGATTTCTGATACACGTTGAGTTGATGAAAGTATAATAACATATAATAAAGTATTGTTTATCAGTTATGGATGCTCGGTGTTGATGTTTTCCTGTAATAAGACCGTGGTTGTACCACACTAGGAGTATTTGATGTTTCCCGTAATGAGACCGCGGCTGTACCAATACTCGAAGATGATCGGGGGTTTTCCGGATTTGGTTGATATGTCTATACTCTGTTGTACGATCATCTGAATGTATCATCCGGGAATGGGGAGATAAAACCTATTTATCGCAGAACAATTGAGTAAGAATATTACAAGAGTATTGCTATTGCATAAAGAGATGCACACATATATGTATCATCAGTTGTAGTTACTCTCATGTTAGATTACCCATGAGTAGGGCACATTCCTTAATTTGTGGCATACATGATATGACCTATAGTGATTTTTTTTTGAGTTGGATGATATTCTCTTTTTATTGCGCCAACTACTTGAGAAGTAGTTCGAGATTGTGACATTGGTCCTATGGTTTAGCTTGGAGTATTTCTTTTGAGTGTTGTTTTCATTCATAAAGTTAGAATTGGTATTTAGGGATCTACAATTTGAGACATATGGTATATATATATGGGTTTTCTTGTTTGGATTATTTTGCTCGACGTACTATGTCTCATCTTGTAGGTGTTTAAATATTAACTCCATTAGATACGAGGAAAATAATATAGGTAGACTATGCTTAATAGATAGAGCCTCTACTTCATCTAGCAGCCCTTCCCCTGGGGACGGATGGAGGTGATTTTGCTGTAGCGCTCTGACACTCTTGTTGGTGTTCTTTTTGTTTAAATTGTATCTTTCAGACAGATCAGAGTTTCGGAGAGCCGCAAGATGACGGAGTTCTAGCATTGTCGCCGTCGCACAGTTTTAGCAGTTGAAGCTCCACTACATAGTTATGTTCATTGTTTGGACTTTAGAGCTGTATTCATTTTGTAGAGGCTGAGTGCCTTAGTGAGATTTCATTTGACTTATTGTGTTGAGATATATTTCAGGCACAAAGATATTTTTATTCTATTTCAGTTAAGCTCATTTGTTGATATACTTCTTCTGTGCATATCTGATTTTGTACTACTTCTATTATTTACCTGTTTTGTACCTTCACCTATTTGTTATTGTCACTAGAGAGATAGTGACTGTGATGGTGAAACATGTCGTAGCATGGTGTTTGGTGCTTGGCAGGTTTGACAATCTGGGTTTCACCTTGGACTGTAGCCTTGTGTGAACCCTGGGGCGTCACAGTTGGTATCAGAGCTCTAGTTTTAGCATCTTTAGGATCATTCATGTGTCAAATTGTGGAGCTAGGATAGAGTTTCTGTCACGCCCCGCTTCCCAAAATACCGGGGAATCGGGACGCGAGCAAGCCCGCGGCGTATTAGATTGAGAAGAAATATACACTATCTTTTCTTTTCTTTTCTCCTCAATCCAATACGCTAAGCGTCTGGAAATAATACAAACGAAGGCACAGGTCCCCGATCACAATCAGCAAGAATATAATGAACAACACAGAATAAAATAATACATATCACAATGAATATTCATCCCAGACATAATATTCGGGTCAACATGCCCTTATACAAAACTATCTGAATGAAATACTGGAGAATATAAATATATACTAAACGAAAGGAAATGAAAGTTCTACAAAACAAACTGAAAGGAATGACTAAGCTTTGGCTTCTTCTTCTGCTACGTCTGCAAGGCACTCCTGCTGCGAATCCTCTGGCTCCTGGCGAACCTGTTCTTCCTCTTAAGTCTGACGTACACCAGAGAAAACAGGTGTACGTCAGGGTGCATGGCACTCGGCAAGATCCCAAAAAGAAGAATAGAATGGTCGTGCAACCAATGCAATAATGGTAATAACAATGGAAACATACAACTGAAATACTAATATTCTAAATATAATTTACTACCCGATCTATGTATGGAAAGAAATACAACTGATCTACGTCTCACAAGAATCCATAAATCCTAACCAAAATGACGATACCGATTCACCTTGACTCAACAAACCAACCACAGTGGTGACACCGATCCACTGGTAACAAGTCATGTAACTAGTCATTCTATAACAGGTCACTGGTCACATCTCATACAGA